TACACAGCTCATGGGAGGGCCCTCTTTTTCAAGACTATCACCAGAACTTCAGATACAAGAGACAGGCAAGCTAGTCCTAGCAGCACTAGAAACAATAGTTGTAAAGAGCATGTACACAGTTAAAACTTGTTTTTCTTGTTTGTTTGTTTGTTTGTTTGTTTTCCGGTACGCGGGCCTCTCACTGTTGTGGCCTCTCCCGTTGCGGAGCACAGGCTCCGGACGCGCAGGCTCAGCAGCCATGGCTCATGGGCCCAGCCGCTCCGCGGCATGTGGGATCTTCCCGGACTGGGGCACGAACCCGTGTCCCCTGCATCGGCAGGCGGACTCTCAACCACTGCGCCACCAGGGAAGCCCAAAACTTGTTATTATTGTATTTATTTCTGTAAATTGCCTGAAACTAGTATTTTATCAGACCCATTTTACAGATGAGCAAACGGTGGCTTTAAGAGGTTAGGTAGTTGCCACAGTCACACAACATATTTGGCCTAGATCAGAGATTCGAATCTGCTCTTTCTAATTCTTTTCTATTTTCCAACCACCACTCTGGGTTGTCAGGACAAGCCATTCCTACCTGGGGCCCACACCCTCTCCTCCAACCCATCCTGAACAAATGCAGTTTCCCCAGATTCCCTTTACCTACTCCCCTTTGTCTCTGTCACCCCTGAGGCCCAAGATGAAAACTATTTGGACAGTTTAAAACTTAGTTGCAAATTTTCCGGTACGGAAATACTGTCCTACCCCAGGCAGCCTCCTTCACTGTGAATCAGGTAGTCAGAGGAGCCTCCCAAAAGGCACAGATACTTTGTACAAGCTGAGCTGAAACCAAGCAACGCAACTCCTAGCACTAATAATTACTGAAATTTGTTGAGAATCACAATAGCTCAGTAAAGCCCAGTGTTTCCCTAAAGGGCAACTATAATAGGCCTATAACTTCAAACGTGTAAGAATAATTTGTTATTCATGTTAATCCCCTCGCCATTGCCAGCGACATCAATCTTTTTCAAAGGGGGACACTGGAAAAAACCACTGAAGTCTGAAGGGAAGAGACAGGCACGAAGGTGAGAAGCAGCGGCCAGCACAGCAACTCTGCGGTTCTGCTCGTCGCTGCCTGAGACTTGGAATGTTTCATTCGGGTTCGCCACCCACCCCAGGCCCATTTGGCTACAATTCCCCAGTAAGGCAGGGAGGTGGACCAGGACACCAGCAAGCCATTCCCGGCTATTCTTTTTACAAGGATAATGTAAGTTTAAGAACTTTTACCACGGAGGTCCAGGCAAGATTACTCGCCCTAGTTAAGGTTAATGAATTCTTTGCAGATTCTGTTTCAACTCAGAAACAGCACCCACTTTAAAAACCGTACACACACCCAGACAGCCACACTGGTTTCCAGGACTTAGTTTTCAAAGTTGCAGAAGTGTCTCAAGTAAAAATGATGCTCAGGAACAGGCCAGAAGCCGACAACAGAAGAATGAAAACGTAACACGGATGAAGGTGACTCTGGAAAACCAAGAATTCAAATAAATTGAAGGGACAGCCTGTGGGCTAACATCTCAGAAAAGAAAGAAACGGTGTTGGTCATTTTCACGGCCTTCCCTCCCTGCTTTTACTCAAATTACGAATGAAGGTTTACAGGAGATGCTTTCCACTCACAGTCACAGATGGGCCACCCCATACCTTCCTTTTCTTGTTCCATGTACATTAGAGAGAAAGCAAAGGAAAGATTTTTCTTTTCTGCTTTACTTTGCCTTGACGTGGTACCCGAAAACAGGAGCAACGGTGATGCCTAGCTTTTCCAGATCCTGGCATTCGGGGGAAAACAAAGCTCCTTTCTAAGTGGATACGGATCGAAGGACCTAGGGCGTGGGAAGCTAATTGAATGTCCACTTTCATAAAACAGGGCGTCGGATCCTTCCCTCTGCCACCAGTGTGCAACAAGCCATACACCCTTCCAGGCTCAGAGGAGGGGAACCCCGGCCAGCAGCCCCTCCTGGGGAGCTCTTGAGCCAGTAACCTCGACAGCCTATAACTAGGCTATCTCCTTCAAACTGCCCGGGAAATCACTCGAGAAGGGGTCTTGGTTCCGCTGTCTGGATGGGAGACCGTCTGGGGCCCCATATTGGCAGGGGCAGGCCCGAGAGACAGAGGGTTGTGTGCTGGGCACAGTGAAGGAGAGCAGGTGCCAGCCGTCGTCTAAATAAATTATTCAAGATTCACCGGGCCTGCAGCTGAGAAGCTGCAAATGGTTTTCACCTCTGGCATTCATTTTTTCTCTTTAGTAATATTTATAGCTCCTTAAATTAAAAAAAAAATTACATGCTCATTATCTAATATTTTAGCAACAGGAAGAGTACGACGTAAAAGTAAGAACGTTTAAGTCTCCTCCTCCTAGCACCCCATTCCCCAACACTATGAACATTTAGGGATGTATCCTTCCAAAACTTTTTTCTTAGCACACATACCAGCATATCTTTCTGTAGGTCTGTGCTCCCAGACTCTGAAACCTGCGCTGCTCTGAACTTGCCCATTCTCTTTTATGTCCTGGGCTCCAACATGGGATACGGCCTTCACGTCAGGTCTGCCATGGGACCTTTGGGTTACGTTTTCCCACAATACCCCTAACTTGGCCCTGACAGCTTGCCTCAGTTCTCAGTCAGTTCAGCCATTGATCATATTTAAGCTGTGTTTCCTGCAACTTGAATGCCTTTTATTTGTTTTTAGAGAGTTGCCTGGCCTTCCTCTCATCAGCAGAAGAGAGTTGGTTATGGTGATTTCATAAGCCAAAATGCAAACAAGTTGTGAATAAGACCTTCCAGCCTAGAGAGAGTGAAGAGTATTTCCTAAATTCTAAGAAAATGTTGCTTATAAGATTTAGTCACAGATATTTGGGGAGAAAAGAATAAAATACTATATTAAGCATATTTATGAACTATAAGATGGTTTTATGAACTATAAGACAAAATTTTTTCTTCATGTGCATTTTTGAATGCAGAAAATAGGATGCTTTCACACCCTCACCTTTCCTAACCTGAACTGCGATCTCATACCCCAACCCCCTTTTTTTGTCAGGGTCTACCCCAATACGTTATCTTAGATATCTGCAACCCTAAAAGATGAATAGTCTCAAATACTGGATGTTTAACGTGAACGTGAGTTGGGACCTGAATTAATCTCAATCATCCTGACGTTTCACACTGGCAAACCCATTTCTGCTATGAAAAGCCTATCTGGAATGACTTCTCCATTAGGAATCCTGCCCGTGGCCCTTTAAAAATAAATCGTATCTGTGGGTAATCCTTCTCTTCATGGTTGTGGTGGCAGAAACCACGGGTCTTAGTGGCAAGTCTAGAAGTTGACGACATAGATAGAATCTAGAAATGCAAAGGTTACGGAATAATATGAAGCCGAGAGGGATTTTTCCTGTTTCAGGACGACGTTCTCAAACGAGGTTATGAGATGAGGTAGTAACTGGTCATATGGCAACAGGTACCACGCAGCCCTGCTCCGTCTCCCCTCACCAGTCAACCAACAATTCCTCTCACAAACAGTCCAGTGCCCATGTACACGGGATGATGAAGGAATAAAGCTGGCCTGATGAATGGGTGTGATTCCAGACATACTAAATATCATGACCCCACACACCCTATTATGACATCTAAAATTCTACCACTAGAAATTCATTTATTTGCATCTATGAGTCCCTGAGAAGAACAGTATCTTAAGCTATTTAACTAACTCGCGATTAGAAAGCTACCAGGACCTAATGATGAGAAGCAAGATATTGATACAAAGGAAACGCCGGGAAGGTGAAGATGGATATTTAAAAGGAAGTTAAGGTGTCAAAAACAAACTGCAGTCTCTTTTTCATCTTACTTATGGCTTGCCCTTTTTTGGAAAAATTTCTTTTTAGCAGTGCAAAACCCCTAGGGAAAAAAATGGTTCACTCTAAGGAAGCTGGAGGAGGATTAATTCTAAGCAGATACTCATATGCTTGGGAACCAAAAGGGGAAGCCTTTACGGATTCTAATCATCCTGACCCTCTTTTCAGCATAGCCTTGAATATCGATGATAATGTTAATACACATAAAGAGGTACCAGGTAGGGAACGAGAGCCTGGATTGACTCCAACCAAAAGACAGCCCCACTTGCTTTCAGCACCCTCCCTGCTATGGGGCTAATTCCTAACAGAAAACAACAAATCCGTTAAAAAATTTAATAAAGTAACCAATGAAATATGTCAGAGTACCTCATTACAACATTTCACTCTTTGCACTGATTATCACGTGGCTGCTTACACAGATGCCCATGAATCTGACTGCATTAGGTTCTCAGGCTTTTCTTTGAGATCATTTCTTCTCCCTACGTGGACTTGCCCAGGAAGTGAGATTTAATGAGTCACCATCCTCTGTGATAATCACAGGAGAGCTCATTAGCTTGTTGTCAGAGTTGTACCTACTATCTGCCCCCAATATGCCTATGACTTCTTTTGAGTTAAATATATTACCAAAAGGGAGAGCTCAAAAAGAGCACGTCTGTGCTGAATGCTGCAGATCTGAAACACTATATAAATATTTTTACATATGTTAAAAGGCATCTGAGAGCAGAAGAGAAAAAAATAACAGAAACACATCCCCTATTGATGGCATCGCTACTTAGATGACACACATCATTAAAAAGAACTAAAGTTAGACATTTACACCTTTAGAAGCCCTCTCAAGTGTTTAAATGCCTGGGCTGAATCAAAGCAAGAAAGGGTTCAAAGGATAGGGGAAAAGAGTGTCACGAGTCTTACAATTTATCAGGTTTGGCGCATTCCCCATTATGAATCTTAGGATACTTCACCAAGGTCTCCCAATCTCACGACCTTTGGTTTTCACTGGAAATGACCAGACAGCTCTCATAGCACTTCACGAGAAGGGATGAAGTCCTACATTACTCTCAAGGAAAGATTAAGTGAATCTTCAGTCCTTCCACAGACCATGTGAGTAATAAGTTTGACTCACCTTGCACTGCCATTGCCCATAACAGAAGTCATGACATTGATCGCCTTCAGCAGAAATCATCTGAGTGATCTCCTGGGTTCCCGTCTGGGTCCTTCCTAGGTACAGAGTTACCCGGGTGAGAATGTTCCTCTGGCAAGGCTGAATGACTGCCATAGACCAGTGCCCCGCTCCCAACCTATGTTTACTGAGCTAAACCAGAGCCATAAAGCCTTTGGGGAATGCAAAGACTATTTTACCTCTAAGGTCCTTAGATTCAAACAGAAGTATTTCTGAACCCTCTTTGGGTTTCATATGTTTTTAAGAATCTGATGAAAAAATATGAACTGGCTCCAAAGAAAAATGTCCCACCCCCTTACAAACGCATGCACAAACACAAAGACACACACACACACACACACACACACACACAGAATATTTGGGGGTACAATTCTGGAGACTTCCCCAGCATTCTGATCTTATTTCTAGAACTGCTTGGGGTCCCTGGACCTAAGACTAGGTCTTGTATAGATTATGATATCAAGGGATGAAATAAAAAAGTAACACTCATTGAGAACTTACTCTATTAAGCACAGGTACTATAACATCTCATTTAACCCCTACAACAACCCTAAGACGTACATCTGTTATTATCCCCATTTTAGAAACGAGGAAACTGAGGCACAGATAATTTATGCAACGTTCCCAGATAGCCAGTTGGTGGCAGAGTTAGGGCTTCAAACTCAGTGTGGCTCTGGAGTCCGTGCGCTGAACCACTAGGTCACTGTGTCTCTCTTATGCAACCCATTTTTATTTTAAGGCATGTTCACTTCTGTTTTCTCATTTAATTTTTGCAACCCCTTCTAGTAGTTAGATTAGATAGCTATCCCCACTTGAGTGGGTGTTGAAAGCATTTCCAGAGCAGAGCAGGATTTGCTTTTCACTCTCTTTTTCAGACAACGAAGTCACAGTTGATGAAATTAAAAATTAAAAGCAAAAATTCTGACTTGAGTCTCCTTCCTCCATTAACTACAGGTTGAAACGCCCTGGAAACACATCTAATTCCTTTCTTCCCAACCGTCCTCTGCCTTGAGGACTAAATCAGCATGGTGAGGTTTTGAAGCCATGTGGGGTTTCCTGAAGAAACCTGGCTTCCTGCGGTTCACAGAGCAGTTTTTTGTTTCTACAAAGGAAAAGGCAAAGGGAAGAGCAGGAAGAAGAGGAACGGTGTCAATCTGTAGAAAATAACAACACTGTGTGAGTATGATCATGCTGGACGTTAGATGGACATCTCTGTCGTCTCATGTAGCTCTGAATCTGACGTGTAAAATAATTTTTTTAAGTATTTAAACCCTCCCTTATCTGAACTCCACCTAGCATTTTTCAGTGCTCGGCTGTTCCCACTCTTGAGTCAATTTCTCCTTCTTTAAAACCCCTATCAACATGTACTACTAGTTCTTCCCTGTCATTCAGTGTCAGACATTGGTCCCACCTTCTTGTTCCAGTGAAACAGCAGAGTGCACTAACACAGTCCCCGGTCTCCTTCCTCTAAACATGCATAGAAATGCTGGGGGAAATGTAGCACTTTTCTGAAAGAGAACCAAACATGAAAGAAAGAATGAGAAAGAGAGAGAAGAAATCCCCAGGTAACAGAAATGAAGAACGCATAGGCAGAGTCACCATCTTGGCATTTGTAAACTGATGCTCCGGGGGCCCAGCCGGATATTGGGTCTACATATTGGCCCAAATGGCAAGAGGCTGGGGTTCAGTTGCCCACTTAGTAACAGGAAAGGTAGAATAAAGCTTGTGCAAGATGGGGAACTAGGAATGACAAGCCCATATGAAGTCAGGATCCTATAAGGCATATTTGGGCATGCAGGGTACAGAGTCTGAACTCATGTTATCCACCCAGCAGGAAACTTCAGTGTAGCAATTAAAATAACAACTGGCTGCAGACCAATAAAACCACTGAGATGCCTATCATAAGAAAATGCAAAACTACTCTGCAGAAGTATTTTCACAACCCAAGAGCACGGGGCCTCCCCCAAATGGGGAAAACCCTTTGCTAAAAGTAAGCGTGCCAACTCAAAGAAAAAAATTACAAATCACAAGAGGAAATAATCCTTCAAAAGAGAGAGTAAGCAGATAGGCAGAGCAAAAGGGGAGATTAATACTCTAAGAATTTAAGATAATAGAACAATCTGAAGCAGGCAATAAAAATAAACATATTCAAAACAAAGACATAAAAGAAAGACTGGAAGCCATGATGTAAGAACAAGACGCCATACAACAAAAAGAAACAGCTTTGACTAAGTCATGTTATACTTCTGGAAAAAAACGAAAAACAGAATTATTGAAATTTAAAACTAAATAAATGGTATATCAGTTTTCTAGGGCTTCCATAACAAAGTAGAACAAACTGGGTGGCCTGGAACAATAGAAACGTATAGTCTCACAGTTCCAGGGGCTACAAGTCTGAAATCAAGCTGTTGGCAGGCCACGTTCCTACTGAAACCTGTAAAGGAAAGATGCAGCCTCCCTTGCCTCTTCCAGCTTTTGGTAGTCCCAAATGTCCCTTAGCTTGTGACAGCATAACTCCAATCTCACACAGTGCTTTCCTCATGTCTCTTCACACAGTCCTCCCTCTGGGCATGTCTCTGTGTCCAAATCCACCCCTCTTTTTATGGACACGAGTCAGACTGGATGAGGGTCAACTCTAATGACTTCATTTGAACTTGATTACCTCCATAAAGACCCTATTTCCAAATAAGGTCATATTCTAAAGTATTGGTGGTTAGGACTTCAGTGTATCTTTTTTGGAGGACACAATTCAACTCATAACAAATGGGTTTAACATTAGTCAGATACAATAAAAGAGAATCAATGAAAAAAATTTCATCAGTGAATGAAAGAATAAATCAGAAAATTAACCAGAATGCAATATCAAAAAATTAAGAGATAGAAAATATAAAAGAGAAGTTCAAAGTTATATAGGACAAAATAAGATTCAACCTATATCTCTTAGGAGTTTCAGAAAGATGAAGAAAAAAAGCATGAAAGAGAAGCAATATTCACTGAGATAATGGGATTTTTTCCAGAATTTATGAAAAATAAGTGTTTAGATTTAGGAAACATGCCAAGAGAAAAGTAGGTCAAAGAGAAATAAATACACAGCCATATATATATACACACACACACACACACACACACGTGTGTATATACATCTTATAACGAAACTATAGATCAAAAATAAAATCTTAAAAGAAATGAGGAAAAAAGATTAACTATAAATAAATAAAGATTAGATTGATGGCAGACTTCTCATTAGCAAAAATAGAAACCAAACCAAAACTAATCTATGCTGGTAGAAGTCTGGATAAGGTTTAACTGTTGGTGGGTGACGGTGGGTAGTGGCTGGCAGGGGGCATGAGGGGTGGGCTCCTGGGGTGTCGGCCAGGTTCTGTTTCTTGATTTTGATTTCTAGGTTTTGATTACATGGGCTCATTGGGCTGTATAATAATGCTATCTGTGCTTTCCTATATGTATATTGTATTTCAACAAAATATTTTAAAAAGAGAGACCAGAAGACAAAGGAATAGTATCTTCAAAGCACTGAGGAGAAAAAGTCAGCAAAATGATCATTCAAGTAGCATGACAAAATAAAGACATTTTTCAATCCAATGAAGACTGTGAGACTTTACTATTCACCACCCATGTTGAAAGAACCACTAAAGGATGTATTGCAGTAGGAAGAAAACTGAACCCATAATGAAGGAATAACATTGCAAGGAGCAATAGTGAGGGAAGAAATTGATAAACATGTAAGGTAAATCTAAGTAACACGCACTGAAAAACCAAGGGTAAAGAAGACTAGTTTTTAAACAAGGAAGAATTAAAATTCTGAGGGGAAAAAAATATCATGGATGATGAGAGGTATCTTTGGGTACAAAGGTCCCTGTATAATTTGGGATAAATTTTGGCTTGAAGAATACAAGTTAAAAATTTAAAGATGTTAAAAAAAATAAAATAAAATAAAAAAGACCAAAAAAAAAAAAAGGAGTTATACAGCAGAAACTAACACAACATTGTAAAGCAATTATACTCCAATAAAGATATAAAAAAATTTTAATGATAACTAAAAGATAAGAAATAGAATATATAAATTTCAAACCAGTGGAAAGGGGAAAAGGGATAAAGAAAATTCAGACTAACCAAGAGAAGCCAGTAAAGGAAAAAGACGAAGCCAAGAAAAGGCAGGTATACTGAAATAATAAACAAGATTATGGGGAAAAGCCCAAAGAAATCATGATTTAAATAATGAAATTTAAATGGATTAAGTTGGCCAATTAAAGAGAGATATTCTTAAATTTTTAATAATTCAGTTATATGCTATTTGAAAGAGACATGCATGAAACACAATGATACAAAGTTGAAAGTTAGTATACAAATACTAACCCAAAGAAAGTTTAAAAATACTAAGATCAGAGAGCATTCAAGAGGGGAAAAAACTTACTCGGAGTTAAAACTGTCATTAGTTTATGAGAAATAAAAGGACCAATTAATTCTTCAAGAAAATATAACAATCATGAGATTGAATAAACCAAACATGGTCTCAAACTACATAAAGAAAGAAATTAACCAAATCACAAGAAATTGATCAATTCTCCATCATGCTGGGAGATTTCCTAACACTCCTGTTTTAAGTCTGATAAGTCTAGTTGATGTGCGTACATTTCATGTGGCAACTAAACCCTAAAATCCTTGAAGTAGGGTGCGTATCTTCTGCCATGTTCCACAGCATATGAAAGGCACTTCCCTGCCCCTCAAAGTAACCGTACATAACCCCTTCTCATATAATGGATGGAAGGCTAAGTGCTATAAGCAAGTGCAAAGCACAAAAAGTGCATACTAATAAGTTATTAATGATAGTAGACACTTTTTTAACCAGCAAAACGAATTAATAGTAGAATAATTAGTGAAGATTTAAAACAATGGATTGAAAAGAGAAAAAAATGTATTATCTCACTGTACTTCTTTTTCAGTATTTATGAGACACCAGGTTCAGATCAAATTATCAAATTACTGTATTAACCAGAGGATCACTTATATTCCTTCTAAA